AGCCCTACATAAATACGACTACCGTATTAAAGCCGAATGACGGCAGTACACTGCTAATCAACCGTCGCCTTCTGATGAGATCGTTCTTCGAATCTCTTCTTCGTGCACTTTTATGCGAAATAAAAGTCTCCCCAACACAATCTCGGGAGATTCATGGAAGCGCAGTTACTCTTCCTCATATCTACACCATACTTCGCCATCGCCTTTGCTCTCCCATATGTAATCCCCACTTGTCAATTTTCCTCATTTTCACAAGCGCTACTCCATGACTCGTCTTCCTGTTTTACTATTTAAGGCGGAAGTGCCTTCATACAGTAGCGCGAAGCCTGACTACTTATGCTATTAGATCGCCGCACTATCTCTAAAGGTCAGAGTCGACTGGACTAGTAAGTCTGCTCCAGAGACTCACTTTTCATAAATTCGTTTTGCTCCGATAGCTCTGCACCTTACCGTAACCTCTATTTGCTGTGGAACAGAAATCATGATGCTAGCAAATTCATTTTATCATGGGTTGCCTAGCCATATATGTCCTGTTCTACTTTGAAACCAGAAAGGCTTTGTATTTTTCTGCCTTCTTTTTCAGGTTTCCTTTGGTCCTTGAGGAGGCTTATTTCACCTCTGAAGCCTTCAATTTGTACAGATATACGACGCGCCTTGTGTGAGTTCAGCATTCTACCAATGAGTTTGGCTCCAATTTTTTTTACTAAGAACCTAGACAACCCAGGTCGTTTAAGGTTGTTTTGGGTTAGTTCTTTGAGTAGGCCCCAGAAGCCTATCTAAAGGTTTAGTCCTCATGTAGGTCTCACCAGCACCTCCAGCGGGATTAGAAACTGAATTGTGAGCATTGAAGAGACACCTTACCACTCTGCTACACATCCATTTGTTACAGCTAGTGGATCACAGATCAGATGTGACTTTTAAAGCCCGCCAGGCTTCATTTAAATCGTATTTCTATTTTCATTATTGATGAGGCTAGCAATTGGACGCCTTACTCATTTTCCTTATAAGTATGTTTCGAAATGATAAGTATGAAAACTTGGCCATCCGAGGAAACTTTATATGATTTTGGGGTTGATAAAGATGTTTTTCCCACAATGATACGAGTTTTTATTCACTAATTACTTTTCGAAACCTACAATATCAGGCTAGGCCCTAATCACTGAAAAGTCTAGGCCCTTCTAAAAATGTTTCAAAATATTATTTGTGAATTTTCTCATGAATTGCACAAATTTTATTAGATGTATTCACCCTATTTCGTGTAAGGTGATAAAGGACTGGTAGTAGAATTTTCCCACAATGATATGAGTTGAGCTGACGAAACCCTACTCACATACGAATATAAGTAACCTTGTCGATTGCTATAGCAAACATACGTTTGCTTCATCGACACTCCCACCAAAGAATATGATATAGTAAAGAGGCCTGACCTTCCTTGAAATTCACTTATGCACTGTGAA